TCGTTTTTCAAGTACTAGAACATATAAACATTATGATTACGTTCTGAATTAGCAGATCGCGTGCTTATACGTACGAGTGGATGCATGTAGATGTATGTGTGCATAGAAGAATGGCAGAATGATTACAATATCAGCTTGAAGGGTTCAGGGTATCTTCTTGTCAATCAGTTTTGATTAGAGCACTCTTACTTGTTTCATTTAGATATTTTAAAGAATTGAATGTGATATGATAATTTATGCTGTTCTATAAATAGATTGAAGTTAGACACGCGTATATATTCCCAAATTAAATTGTACACTAATAAATCTCGTTTCTATCAGGAAAAATCTTTAATACGAACTCCTCATCGCTTACGAACAGTATCTGATCGGAAGAAACTATGCCTTCTGTTTGCTGGATTCAGATGTTTCCTCAGTGTTCCAGCCGTACGTTCTTCTAGTTGTTCAAAAACCTTGTATTATATTTACATCTTTTTTTTCTGTTTGTTATAGAAACAGCGTGTCCGTGTTATTCCTGTCGTTAAATTTATGTCAGTTAGTCCCGGTCGCATTATTATAAGAAAGGGAGACAAGCCGTTTTTAATATATTTTATTATAGCGGGAGAAATTGGCATGCCTAAAAGGAATATTTCCGAGGTAAAATTAAATTAAAATTCCGAGTTCAATCGCTGACTATGAAATTTGTAGCTTGAGGACCAATTCAACTTTGGACCTGGTGATTGCATTGGCGATATAGGAATGTTTGAGGACGGCCCACGCTTCCAAACTTACATTGCTGCATGTGAGTACCTACTACTTAAACTAATTGTATGTCGCACTCAATCGTCAATCAGCTTATTAGTACTACTATTATTATATTTCTTAATGTCAACAAACATGTCTTATTGCGAGTAGATAAAATTAATGTGTTTAGCCTGAGTCCATTGAAAATAGGAAATCGGGACATAATGTTTTTGTATTGTAATTATAATTGGCAGAAGAAGGCGTATTAGACCCCATAAAGTATATATATTCTTAAGTAGCTGTCTCGGCATAGCTATGTTCATTTGTTCGTCCATCTGTTCATCAGTCCAACACCGAAATCTCAGAAAATATAATACTTAATATTTTACATGCACATTCGAGTATTCAATAGGCAGTACAAGTTTTCTTCATTACATCGTCCTGTTTCCTTTTAATTTAACAGATTTGAATATTAAATCAAATCAAATATTTTAAATATTTTGTTTTTAATAATCCGCTTCGAGATGTATATACACCATTCATTTTTCACAAGCTTAATTACATATATATATATATATATATATATATATATATATATTTATATATATATATTTGTATATTTAGAGCTAAACACGCGATATAAGTACGTTTGTACATGACAGAATTACTGTTGCTTCGTGACCAAAGGCAAAGGCTTGCACCAGCCAATTTAATCAGCAATAAACAAAGTTAAGTCCTAATTCGATTCAATCAAATTGAATAGCAAAACATAGCTGTTCCCCCATCTAGCCAATCATACCTCCGTTTTTTGCCAAGGAGGCATTTCAAGCATTGCCTGCTATGTATTACGAAAAAATAGGTTGGCAGCAACAACAGCTGAGGACCTCAAACTGATTCCCAATTTAGCTTTCACTTCGTAACGTAGTGTTTATTATTTTTATTTGCCTGTTTTCGTTTTTTTTTTTTGTTTTTTTTCTTTTTGGTCTATCGCATTGGAATCTTCAAACGAATTGATGGACTCCAATTTGCATTTCGTTCTCATTTTGCATTTGCTGTTCTTACCTTTAAAACGTGCCGGCTACTTAGCGCAATGCGAACTCCTGGTACTACTCGATAATGATTTTAATTCGATCCTCAAGCCCTACATGCAGAAGGTTTGGAACGATAAGAAACGAGCCTTGAAGGCTTTGGACTATTTCGATTTTTTCAGCGATGATCAGGTAAGCGAATGGAATTTAGTTATTTATAATAGTTAGAATCGGCATCTAACCAAACTCTATTATAGATTTTGAAAGCATGCAAGCTGTGTACGCTTAAGCAATATAATCCCTTGGATACAATTTACAGCCATGATAGGGGAACACTCACAAATGTTCACTTCGTTTTGAGTGGGGAATGTTTAATACTCCAGTGTCTAAATATGAAGGTATTCAGATAGCCAAACCGTAGCCAGAAATATTTTTTAAACATTTAACAAACTTATTGATAAAGGTTATAGCAAATAACGGGAAAAAAGTGTACCACCTCGTGGACACTTTGGATGGTGGAGCTATATATATTCACAGTGAGCAAAGCATAAGAAGCGGTCTGGTCAAAAATATGTCCATGCTCGATGCTCTCGATGCGGTCCATAAAAACGAAAATAACTCGGTAAGTTATCTAAATAGATATTATAACAAGTAAAAACGTTGCAGTCGCGCGTTACCGATTGCGGTATACTCATTCATACCCCATAAGCAATTTAGTAGCTAAGTTTTGCTCTAATACTGTAGAAAATTCAGCTCGATTTCCCACGCCCCTACTGGGCGTAGACATTTAATTTATGGCCAACTCATGAAACAAGCTAACCGTAACCTAGCTGCAACATTTGGATGCTAACGCTCCAAAAATAAAAAAAATTACAGGGTATTTTTTGATATACCACGTCCATAAAGAAGCGTAGCAATTATTTTTGGGTCATCGATAGAGGAGGTTACTAGTGAACTGGAACTTCTAGCTCTTATACTTTAGGATATAAACTTTTGCGGTTTGCCACGCCTCCTGTGGGCGGACATATATCCTCCAAAATTTGTGGTCTTGGGAGATCAGCCCGAGTATATATACCAAATTTGAGGTCTCTAGCATCGATAGTGTCCAAAATATACCAGAATTAAAAAACCACTATATCTTCAGGTCCGCCCCTAAAAGGCGTAGACATGTAATATAAAATAACATTATCTCACGTCCAAAATTTTAACGTTTTAGCTTAACAGCTCTAGGAGTTATCCGATTTGCCACGTTCCTAATGGGCGTAGATCTATCCGCCATAGCACGTGATCTTGAGCGGTCGATGCGGATCTACATTCCAAATTTCAACTTTCTCGCTCTCAACTAATATAATTTCTGGTATATCGGAAAATGCACTTTCCGATTGGCCACGCCCCTAGTGGGCAGATCGGGAAAATTTTAACACTTTATAAATCGAAGATATACACGAGTGTGTGCTCCAAATTTCAAATCTCTATCTTCAATAGCGCCGAAATGAACTGCGCTCATACGGACAGACGGACGGACATTGCACAAAACCAATATACTCATTTAACTTTCGTGAATGAGTATAAATAAAATAATAAAATATTGGTCGTAAGATACAATTATCTCTGCAAGTGGCAACAGTGGGAATTACTTCCGTTTTTCTGTCCATATGAGCCCCATTTCGCAGAATGTTTCAAAGTTGACCAATAATTGTTTGGTTAAATGTATGTAACAGGCAGAAAGAGGCGTGGCAGACAGCACAAAGTATATATATATTCCTGATCAGGGTGACGAGTTGATTTAGCCCCGTCCGTCCGTCTGTCCGTATGTCTGAGCGCGTCGATCTCAGAATATATAAGAGCTAGATACTTGAATTTTTTTCCTAGGTCCTTGTTTACCACGCTAGTATCAAGTTTGTCTTTAAAATCGAAAACTTGCTCCGTAATTTTAGATTTGATTACAAAATTATGGAAAATTTGCAATTAATATATGTATATCTGCTACATCAAATTACCCCCACCCCTATATTCACCCCGTCACCCACATATTTGTAAAAGGTGTATTTCAAATAATTTGGCAAATGCATGCATATGTATGTTATAATCATAATCTGAAAGTTTCTTGAGGATAGTCCATCGACAAGAAAAGTTATTAAACAATTTAATTTCCATAGTAAGCCTGTGTGTGTTACTTGAAGGGTTCAGGGAATTTCGTGGTCGAGCAGTCTCGACTAGAGCTTTCTTATTTGTTATTATTGCCTTTATTTTCAAATGCATTTTTTATATGATTGTGCAGCCTGGACAATTTAATACTCTATCCAGTGATTCTGATAATGGAAGCTCAATATCAACGGTAAATTTAATAAAACACTATACTAGTCCATGTAGCATTAAATATTGCGAATATTATGTGGATGAAGCCTACCCAAGCTCTGGGAAAATATTCAAAGACAAGAAACAGTTGACCTCTGATATCTATAATGATATTGAATCTGAAAGTGACACATTTCATGTTTCAAATTTTGTTGGGTCATCAAGCTCCTGTCTGAGTGTGAGTCCCTCGCGTTTCTTTTCTTTCGCTTAACTCTTATTGTTTACAGAAGTAATCATATTTTTTGTAAACTATCGTTAATATGTAATTTTAGGCAGGCGACATTGAAAGTCATTTTATTGACGTTGGATCACTTACGTTTGGTGGCATTTTCGGACTGGGCGAAACGATGCGTCATCGTGTAATTATGGCACGAAGTACTGTGCAATGCTTGTTGCTCCCCAGATTTTTCTTACTCGATAATGACCAAAATCCAGGAAACATTTGGCAACGGAGACTTTTCTACCTAGAATGTATCATTCCATCCAGAGACGCGCTGTTCGATAATTTTCTCAAAACTTTAAAGTGGAAAAAATTTAAAATTGATTTTATCAAAAGTTTAACAACTAATACGACGAATATCGCCAAGGATGATGATATACCAGTTCTATGTCGCATCGAAGGAGGCATTGATCTTTAATCATAGATTTAAGTTATTGTGCAGAGAAATAGTTGTATGGAAAAAGCACTGAGAATTTCAAACAAATACTTGTAAAAAGAACTGAATAAACAAAATTGACTTTATTTTGAGTAAACACTTCATAATACAACATTATATGTTATTGGTGATTATTAATTCGACTTACTAAAAATTCATTTCTATTTTTAATATTTCACTAAAAATAGGAATAAAATATATGTATTTTTTGTACTTATAAAAAAGAAGGAAATAATTTTATAAATTAAGGACTTAAAAATTCATATGTATACCATACACACCACGAGTTTATAATTTATTGCATTATGCATGTACCATATTTAACAAGTAAGAAGGCTCTAGTCGAGACTGCTCGACTAAGAGATACCCTGAACCCTCGAAACTGATATTCTAATCATTTTTCAATTCTTTTATGCAGGCACACATACATAAACATGCATCTGGGCAATATTATGTGTATTTATTTGTTGAATAATTTAATTTCTAGACGTACAATCTTAATGAAACTTTCAGAACGTAATTATAATGTTTAAATGTGTGCACATTCCAGAGCACAAGTCTCTAGTATTTGAAATACGTTTTTTTGCAAATTGTAAATTACAAAATCTGTGTATTCATTAAATGTATACATACATGAGTATGCATACCAAATTTCAACGCTCTAGCTCTTATAACTTATAACTCTTATATCTAGGCGTTCATACGGACGGACGCACGGACAAGACTACATCGACTCAGCTCGTCGTCCTGATGAAGAATATATATACTTTATGGGGTCTGCGATTATTCCTTCTTCCTGTTACATACTTTTCACAAAAATATACCCTGTTTTCCCATTTTCAATAGGTTTAGGGTATAAAAACGATTGATGATGTGTGAGCTCGAATCTGATAGAGAGTTTTTCTTTAGTTGTAGAATGCCATCAACTGCATGTTGATGTTGAGCTTCTCTATCAATCTAAAGCAATCAAATATTAAAGTGTTCAATGACATAATTTTATTCGTGTCATTAATTTCGCTTAGCATGCTTATTGAGAGGGGAATATCGATTTCTTCATATTTTGGAGCGCTAACCAATAACTTATAATATTATACGGCCAACTGCGAAAACCTTGAGAAAGCAACTATGTATATTGCAGGATTCCCTAATACCTACAAATCGTGTGCCAAATTACCTTATCTACTAATTATTATACACTTAAGTTATTCCAGAGTCCCATAAAAGTGAGAATTTTCCTTGAATTCAATAAAATAACAAAATGTATTATATTACCTATATTGAAGTGAGTCAGTAGTGCTTTGTGACGCAAGGAGTCTTGACTGTTGTGGCTGCCTTTTGGTAAGCATGGAAACGGTGAACGCAACTCTTAAAGGTTTCCAGCTACAAGAGTTGAAATTCTCTCGCAGTATTGATTCAACAACAGAAGCGAACATTTTGCATAGTGCGAAGGCATTATTGATATGGCTGTAACTAATTTACCAAGAGTTCCGGAAGGTCTTAGAGATCTGGTAAAAACCTATACTAAGGAAGTTTTACGCGAAAAACCCAAAGATCTATATAAATTCTCAGTAGATTACTTTGAAAGCCTAGCGGGTACAAGAAAAATTCAGCGAAAGGTGATCAAATATGAAACCCAGCAAAGTTACGAAACTATCGTGAAAAATCGCATTCGACAGCAAGTACCTTTGTCTCTTGCATTTCATATAATTCCTGAAAATCTAACCGAAGTAATCAAACAGTTCATCAAAGCCGTCCTGCGAGAGAATCCTCAATATTTAGTTCCATTCGCAATAGAATATTTTAAAAATCTTCAAACTTCGTCATCGAAACTGGGAGATATTCAGTATACAGCTTATGAAAAATTTATGGAGAAAAATGAGAGCCAGTCGCCGGCACGCAAGGTGACTACGTGTGAATGTGGACGTATTCTCAGCTCGACGGGTGGGACACCAGAAGTAGTACAAAATATCCCTGATGTGGATCAACAAATCGGAAAGCTCAACAAAAACGATCAGTACATAAGAGCTGTGTGCATCATTCAGAAATACTTTCGACAATATTTGAAACAAAAAGCAGAAAAGCTAATCCAACTTAAGGTTACTTCGAAGACTACAGATTTTTATTGCAGCCAAGAAGTCTTAAATGCTATTATAATAATTCAAAGACAATTTCGGCGTTTATTAACAAAAAAACGATCTAAAACTTCCGCGGAATCAAAACAGACAAATGAAGGACGTTACAATTCTGTAAAATATATGAGGGCTGTACTTATTATACAACGGTACATGCGAGAATATTTGAGAAATAAGAAATCGAAGAAGCAGACGTTAACCAAATCCGAGGACCTTACTCCAGATGACAATATTACCATGACAACAGCAGCATTCGTCATTCAAAGAGCATTTCGAAGTATGGTTAGGGCGCGGAGAGCCAAAGGACATATAAATGCTGACCTCGATCAATGCGATGAGATGAATGACAATGCTTCCGAAGCAGCATCTTATACGTCCGCCTCTACTGCTCTTCTTTCAACAGAGTCGGCAGGTGAGCATGATTTTGGGAGTACTCATTATGAAGAGGGCGTGCATCAACAAACTATCAAGGAAGATGAAGAAGTTGAGAACGGAAATACAAACCGACAAATGATATTTGGGACAGAATCTATAAACACAAATACAAATTCAGAAAATCGTAGTAGACAAGGTAAAAAAACTTTTTTTTTTTTTTTTTTTTAATTTACTACCCGTTAATGAAGTGAAAATAATTCGCTTATACTTTAGTCTCATTGTCTGTCTGCTGTTATAAACGTGAAACATATAGTATGTATTATTTTTGGATACGTTTATATGGTTTACAGATCTATAAATTATATTTTTCGCACCTTGAAACGTATCAAAAAATTTCTTTATGTCGAGCAGAAATGTTGAATAATAATTGCCTTAACTAAATATATAAAATTTTTTTCAGCCAAAAGTAATAATGAAACAGACCTGAGTGAAACTGAAGACGAACATATAAATAAAAACTTCAGGACAAAGACCCGTGATGAGTTGGAAAAACTGACTACAGAATATCATATTTCAAAAAAAGATCGTATTGAAAAAATAAAAGCTATGAATATTGTAAACGCCGAGCGTCAACCAGAATCGAATAATTTGACTTCAGAAAACAAAAGTGAAATTAAAAATGTTTTGATCAAACCTAATACTGAAATGGAGCGATTGGAAGTGGTAGCGGAGTCTCGAAACGACGGTAATTTCACTATTAAAAAAATTGGACACTATTACAAAATATTTCATATTTTAGAAGCTGGACAACACAAACCTGAAAAATATAGGAATGATATATTATCCTTGGAAACAACAAGTGACCTAGGCAATCAGGTAAAAGGAAAATGTAAAATCTTATTGGAGAAAATGTAAACACTGAAATATATATTTTCAAGAATCTAATCACTGAAACTGCAGCTTCATCATCAGGTAGCAAAAGCAAAAATGTCCATACCAATCATTCAGGTAACATAAATGTGATAAATATGTCTTTTTTCATTATTTCCAGGTTGTAAAAAATACAGTGGAAATTTCTATAAGTATAGAACAAGTTCAAGTAGCTAAAAACTGTTTATTTATGGGCCTTACTATTTTCGATTTCATAACTTTATTTTATTTGTTTTACTTTAGACATTATTGATGACGAGAAAAGAAATGAAGCTCAATGTGAGATACTTTTGCTTAAAACTGATGAAATTAAAAAGTGTTCGATAATAAAAGGTGATAGCCTTAATGATGACTATCGAATTTTCGAGAACGCTGAAATTATTGAAATGGGGGGCGTCGAGGATCAAAATATAATTGCGTCCAACAACAGTGCTTCATCTCTTGAAATAAGACCGCTGAGCACAAATATTTTAGATCTAGAACAAAGCGCAGCGCAGGCTTTTGCTCAACCTTTGGATACAATAACCACGATATTGGAAGAAAGGGCTGCGGATTTATCATCAGAGTCCAACTATGATAATTCACCAAATCAGGTAAGCGATGAAAAAAATTATGGGATAAAAAACATTAATGGGTAAATATTTGTTTTAGAATCATCCAATTTCACCTGCGCTAAAATCAGTTGAGATTGGCTACGTCAATCTCATAAATCCGATAACAGGTAAATGAATGTTTAAAAATATTAAATATACTCTAAGAAAATTAATTTCATATGAAATAAAATAGTTGTTCATACATATATCATAATACGCTAGTTACAGATTACAGTAATTTAGGAATTTTCTATTAGTGATTTTGCATTTTCGATTAATTAGCTCTACTGCCTTGACTATTACAAAATCATTGATAAGATGAGGCAGTCTGTTGACTTTAAATGGGTAGTTAGTTTAATATAATAATTTTGATTACTTGTTTTCAGACGATATCATCAGTATAAATCCTCACAATAATCAATTAAATGATACAGTAGATGAAAATATAAGTAAACTTACCACGTTCGCTGAAATTCCAGTGGACTTCCAAATTCATACTGTTAATACTAAGATTAATTCCGATGCTATTACCGACTCCCGAACAAATAATTACAGAGATAAGATTAATTCCGATGCTAATACGGAAAATACTGTAAATGAAACTGAAAAAAAAACTGAGGAAAATCAAGTCGATCCAGGCAATATAATGGTAGACAAATCCTTGACCAAATCAAGCCTCCAAGAAAGTTTAGAATCCCAAGAATACGAGAGCATCAATGCATTAGAGCCTTCAAACTCTGTCAGCTCCGTTGATAAGCAACATTCAGAAATACCAACCGAATGCACCGTGAATGAAGAATCCTTGACCAAATCAAGTATCCAAGAAAGCTTGGAATCCAAAGAATACGAGAATATCAAAACATCTGCATCTTCGAACTCTGTCAGCTCCATTATTAAGCAATATTCAGAAATCAAAACTGATCTTATTACCGAAAATACGTCAAATAGAAGTGAGCTAACAGAGAAAATTAAAATCGATATACTAAATTCAGAAATATCAACTGACACAAAAAGTTTAGAAAACTTACACGACGTGAGCCCACTTGCCACAGACATTAGACCCCAAGAGCAAGGCCTTGACAAAAATAAGATCACTAATATAAGCAATGCAGCCCCAGATCATTGCCAGAATGCATTGACAGATACTATAAATACTCATAGCCTAGAAAGCGCTAATGACGACAAAGGCGATCAGGTAAACTAATCAATCCTCTAAATCTAAAGGAGAAAACTAAACTTATATATTTTGAAAATTTACTTAGAGTCCCAAAAAATCGTCATCTGACGGTGGTAACGAAAATTCCGTCACCGCATCTACATCAGGTAAATTGAGAACATATTTGTTAATATACATTTTTTATAAAAATGCATCTTTATAATTATTTAATAAAATTACATAAAAAAGATAGTGCCACGAAAAATTTGGATGACGGGGATGACCCCATTTCTCCCAATACACCAACTTCAGAAATCCAAAATTCAATTGAAGTAAATAGCCTTCAGACAGTTTTAAAAAATATGCATAATCAAGCGAAGAATACTAACGACGATGCTCTTTACGAAAATAACAGTACGTAATCAGTTATACTTTTGATAGAGTTAAGTGTTTTAAAATTATTTATTATCTTGTTCTTTTTATTTATAGTATTATACTTTCATATTTTGTACATATGAGTATACTAGCTAACCCTGCAAACGTTGTTTTGACATGTCCATTATTTCTAGAAAATCTTTTGAAATGAAGTACAAAATAACTAATTTACTATATGTGTGTGGGGATGCAGTTATATTTGAAAGCGTTGTAGGCAACCGAAGTATGATTATTTATTACTAAAAATTACATTTAAAAGAAAATGCATACTAATCTCTCTTTGTTAGGCCATCTTTAGCCAACACAAACAAGCTAGATGGTTTCCCGACACGAGAGCATTTCACATATAGTTGTCTGTGGGAAAAGCATGGTGTTTCCAAATCTAAGCCACATACATACAGACAACGTTTGGCCTTGTGACTTATTGATTGTCATCGCGTATGCCAATTTGATTGGGAATTGAATACGCTTCAATTCAATTGATACATCTGTAGGAAATTACAGGGACTCTTAACAGCCATATATTTACGCCTTGAAACTTGCCATTAAAAACAGTGGCCTCAGTCACGTTCTTCATAAACAGAATCGTATGCCATTGCAATGTTTCCGGTGGTGTTTCAATTTCTTGCAGTTTTAAAACACATGCAACACTTTCCGAGCGGCTCATTATTATACCCTGAACCCATTGAAAATGGGAAATCAGGTATAATGTTTTTGTGAAAAAGTATGTAAAAGGCAGAAGGAATCATCGCAGACCCCATAAAGTATATATATTCTTGATCAGCACGACGA